CACCATACCTGACCAATGTGTAGTTCACTCAGTATTTACCTAAGACAAAACATAGCTATTTTGCCCATTTTTCAATAATGCTAGTATAAAACTGTAGACTGATGAGTGTTTTTCACCCACCTGTTCAACATTATTACTCATTCTTTGTGGCATCTCCCACAGGCAATGAAAAGCCTATTCTCAGTCCTCTTGCAGTCTTTGTATATAATATCTTCTTTTTTTGCTAGTCTTTTTAAACTTTGATATTCATTAGTTTTACTATTATCTGTCTGGGGTCAATTCCTTTCTTTATATTGCATTTTTTGTTACATAAACTTTTAGCTTTTAGATTTGAGCCTGAATTTCTTCAATTTGAACAAAGTCAGCCACTGTGCTTCGGATGCTGCCTTTGCTCACTCTATTTAATCTTAACTCTGAGAACCACTATTATAAGTAACCATGTTCTGAGGCCACTCACTACAGTAAATATGTGGCCATCATAGTTTTACTATTAAAAGGAGCGAGGATGAGGTATGCATTGAGTCTGCCATCTGGACTGGAGTCCATTTTTCTCTGTAGCATTGTTTCTTTTGTTGTCTGGTTAGGACAACAGGTTTTTACGGAACGTGACCCCCATCCTTTGTTTTACCTATTTCTAATTGCTGTATCCAAGATAGAGTTCTTGAAAGAACAGGATGCTGGCTTTGATTCTGATTCTTCCATTTGCTGCATTGGGATACTCTGATCTGCAACAAGATGCTACAACATGGTGTTCTGATGAGCACAGGACAACCCCTGGGTTCCTCTCCATTTCCATATCCGTAGTATAGACATGCATTATTTCTTAACTAATATGACTCTTATGATATTAAATAGGTAGGCATTTTTAATGTGCTTAAAAGAATGTTTCCATGTTCTATTCTTTCTTCTCCACACAACTCTATCCTCCATATATTACAAATGTTATTTTCTAAGTATCTCAAATGTCCCCCTGCTGTTTACCCTACCTCTGCTTTAGCTCTGACTTTTGTTATTGCTCACTGGACTGCTGTAATAATTTCCTTAACTGTCTCCATGCCTCCAGTTTCATCTCACTGAATCCATCCTTCACAATGTCATCAAAATTCTTTCTGAACTGCAAACCTATTAACATTACTACTATTCAAAATTTTCTGGTGGATTCTAATCACTGTAGTGTACCTTAGTGTTATCTATTTTAGCTCTGACCTTGTTTCTGCAAACTCCTCTCAACCTATGCTTTTCTACTTATGTCTCTTTTTGGTTCTCTTGATCTGTATTTAGTTCCTGAATTGTTTATATTCTCTCTGTCCTCTGCTCGTGTCCATGTTGTTTACATTTGGTATACCCTGCCCAACCATGGCCACTGGGCTAATCATCACTCATTTCCCAAAGGTCAATGCCAGCAGCTCCTCTTCCTGACAGTGTTTCCAATCTCAATCTCCAGGCTGAGGTCGAGAAGCTTCATTCATTTTGGATAAGTACAGATACTACGGCACTTACTCCTCTGTATTGTGATAGGTCATTTGCTGCTTCTTTCATTGATTCTAAAGTGAACTCCTTGAGAGTAGGAACCAAATACTTCTAATTTCTGTGTCCAAAAAGTAACCACCTAGTACACAGTGAGAAGGCTTATCAAACATTTGCTAAATTCATGAATAAGTGATTCATTTAATGAATTTCAATACATGATTCATATTGAGGTTTGTGGAATAAAGAGGGCCATTATTAATAAATTAGGATCCCTTAAGACTTATTTTTGCTATTACCATCTACTTAAAATGTTAAGAAGTGAGCACCCACCTGGTGATTAGCAATTTACTAGCAGGCATATTGAGTCACATAAAGGATGCAAGATAATTTTGGGTCATCAAGATGCTAAGAGACATTAAAAGAAACAGTTAAATTTTTCTATAGTAAAATACAGGTTGTTATTTTGAGCCTTAACATCTTCAACATTTTTGTAAAATGCTGATTCTGTTAGAGTCCTAGTCTTTTTAATCTATCTACTCCCTTGAAGTAAATGTTTAATAAAGATATCATGGCCACCCCACCTCTGCCTGCCCAACCACCTTTGTCGCCTTCACCTCTGTACCCTCTAACACCGTATGGTCACCCTTAGCCCTTCGGTTCTTGCGTTCTATTCCTATTAATTTCAGAAAATGGCAACTGCCAAAGCAATAAGAGTGAATTTAATTTAAAAAGTGCAATCATGTTCTGCCTTGTGCTGAACTGGACTTGGAATTATTTGTGACTGTGATTTAGCATTATTTCTGGGGAGAGAGTCTCCCTGTTTAATACTAATAGTCTTCCCAGGAAGTTTCATTAGAGTGAACTGCAATTTTTATTGCTCAGGATTTAACAAACTCCAATCTAAAGTCTCAGTGCCAGTGTCGTCCAGCCTCCCAATCTCAGATGAAATTCTAAATTCTAACAATGTCAGCCCAGGACTCAGCCCATCACCCAAGTTTCCTTGCTGAATCTCATACATCAGAGACCTCACGCCTTTTCCTTTCTCATGAGCACCTTTCTCCTGAAATTTCTCTGCTCAACACTCCTGACAACAACCTGTCTGCAGATGCACCAACAGCTGCTCCTGCTGAAAAATGGGCTTGTCGCTCTCTCGGGGGCTGTGATTTCTGGCATATGCATGCCTCCTACTGTCTCTTTGGTTTTAAAGCAATTTTCGGCACACCTGCTTGCTTGAACTTTACTGACAAGCCCTCTTAAGAGTTCAGTGAAGAAAAAAATATCCGTTTCCTAGGTACTTCCTGTAATTCTAAATTTCACTTTAAATCTACCAGTAAAGTGTTTACCCCTGTGGATGGAGAGACAATCTGTGTTGAGACAATCCTGCTGCCTCAGGCAGGATCTCATCAGCTCTCATATCACAGCAGAGAGAGAAAGGGATGATCCATTAGGGCAATAAGGCCAACTTGTTTCTACTACCAAAATTGTTCCTTAGAGTGCATTTGCTACTGCCATGTCCAGTCTGGGTTTTACTGTCACCTACGAAATTACATCTCACTTAAAAAATTCTCCAATTGGATAGTTCTGCTCTTTTGGTATTGACTCTACTAGCTTTTGGATTTGAGTCGATCTCTTAGAAATACTACTCATTTTCACTCTAGTTTCTAGATTTGCCTTACAGGAGTTCTCGATAAAGTTGCCCTTTTGATTATTTTCTTTAAGATTCACCATTTTAGTCTATCCATGGTCTATGTAAAAAGTGGATATTTAATCTGATTGTGAACAACCAACCAGCAATTAAAAAACAAACAAACTTTTTATTTCTCTCATTTTGATTTAGGGGCTTTGATCTTAAGGTAATTATCTCAATGTTCCAAGGTAGTCCTTGGGTGACCATAGCAATGCTCAGTGTTAGAAACCACTTCTGATTATTGCTCCTGTGGAACTGGTAAGTGCTCTCATTTGTAGCCAAGGTCTTTAGGTCAACCCATCTCTAGCATTGCAAAGCAAGTGAATTTGGGGGTAAATGTACATTTCTAAAGCAGGTTCGAGTCAGCGAACTTCATGCAAAATAATGAGAAACAGTGGTCTACATGCAATTGTAGGAAATTTCACTAATATCATGAAGGTAATATGAGTACAGCTCATGAAAGGTATCTCAAAACCCAGGCCAATCAGCATTATAAAATTAGGTGCTGGGTGGACATGGATAGGCTTTTGGACTTGGTATGCTGTCACAATGTCCAAAACAAAGCAACATAAAAGTACAGGAGAAGAGGCAAGACAGAGTTCACACAGGACAAAGCCAGTGCTATGAATTCCGTGCATATAGAATTTGGCCAATTACATGATCATTATTTAAATAAATACAACTACTTTTTATTTGACACATATGAATTCTCATTTTTAGTGAAATTCTCTGCTGTATGACATTAAGAAATAGCTGTTCTTTCAATGAGGAAAAACAGAAAGTTGAAATAATATTGGCCAAGCAACTAATATGTATTATATTTACTTAAAATAAACACTGGATGTTACTATACAAGGATGCAATGGATATTATTATTCCTGACAACCTCTAATTAAGCTTACAATCAATGATGGTCAAGCTACTCAGTGAATGAGTTAGGATATGAACTCAGGCAAATCTGATTCTAAAGCCAATGCTCTTTACATTCTGTCTCAAGGCCCCTGTGGCTTCCATTTCTAGCTAAAGTATAAGGTAACCTCAGCCACTAAAACCACATTGCCATTGGTGTCATCCCTTACTCTCTTTTCATCTTCTTCTATTCAGTTTCTATGTCTGTACAAAAAGGTAGCTGCCCTGGAAATGGACTCTGCAAGGCAACCAGATGCATTCACACTCTAGCTCTGCTCCATGTATGCTCTGTGAACCTGGGAAAGCAAAGTACCCTATCTGAAACTCAGGTTTGTCATCTCTAATGTGGGAATAAAAGTGCTTGAACTAGGCCTGTTGAGAGATTAAGCACCAGGTATACAATAGGTGTGAAGCAATTATTAATTCCCTTCTCTTTCCCTGTCTCCAATTTGCTGGCTCCAGATTGGATACAATCTTCCTGCTTTAACCTTGAGTTTCCCTGCTTACAAAATTCAATTCCATTTACTGAGCATCTGAACATAATTGACACCTAATGAATACATGTTGAGTGAGTGAAAGACCTCTTAAGGCTCAAATCTTCTCGGGACTCTGAAGCACAGCCTGAGCCCTGTAAAGATCTTTGTAACTGCCTTATATCCCCACACTGGCTTATACACCTTAATTGCCATTTACCATATTGGCTGCTAATTTTTCCTAATACATCATAAGTTTCTCAAGAGCAAGAACTATGTCTTACTTTTCTTTGTAAGCTTAGCTATTACAAGATATCCTGAATATTTATTTGACAAATTACTATTTGAAGGATTTAAATTGAATCATTATTCTAATATCAGTAGTTAACTCTGATTAAGCTTCCCTGTAACCTTAATTTCTGGAAGTATCTGAAAATAGGATGAAGGCAATAAGAAGGTTAGTGCTCACTTTAGCAGCACATCTATTAAAAATAAAACAATACAGAAAAGATTAGTAAGGATCCTGTGCGAGGATGACACACAAATTTAAAGTTTTCCATAGTTTTAGCCAAGAAATGGAATCAAACTAAGTGTTCATCAGCAGATGAACAGATAAAGAAAATATGTTGTATGTACACAATGGAATACTATTTAGTCATATAAAAGAATGAAATTCAGTCATTTGTAGCAATATGGATGGGCATGGAAGATATTATTTTAAGTAAAGTAATTCAGGCACAGAAGGGTAAATATCACGTTTTACTTCACATACAGAAACTTAAAAAGTTGATTTCATAGAAGCAGAGTCTAGAATAATTCTTATTAAAAGCTGGGAAGGGTTGAGTCAGGAGATACAAAGAAGTTGATTAATGGAAACAAAATTTCAGCCAGACAGGAGAAATAAGTTCTAGCCTTCTACAACATGGTAAAGTGACTAGTTAACAAAAATTTCTTGTATGTATTTTTAATAGTTAGACGAGAGGATTCTGAGTGTTCTCAACACCAAGAAAAGATAAATGTTTTAGGTGGGGTATGTGCTAATTACTCTAATTTGATCATTATACATTTTATATATCAAAATATCTATACCATAAATATATAAAACTGTTAAGTGTCAACTAAAAAATGGTACAACCACTTTGGACAATAATTTGGCAGTGTCTTATAAAATTAAACCTATATTTATCATATGGCATAGAGATTTCCTCTCCTACGTATTTACACAAGAGAAATGAAAACATATGCCCACAAAAGTATTTACATATAAGAATGTTTACTGCAGTTTGTTCATAATAACCCCAAACAGAAAAAAATGCACATATTCATGAACAAGTGAATAGTTCCAAGTTGTGGTATGACCATACAATATGTACTGTTCGATGAAAAAAGGAACAAGTTACTAAGACATAGCATAATATGAATGCATTTCAGATATGTTATGTTGTGTGAGAGAAGCCAGACATGAAAGAGAACATAGAACACACTTTATGGTTCTCTTTATATGACATTACAGAAATCAAAAGAGCAGTTGCCTCAGAGATGAAATGGAGTGGGATATAGTGGTAAAGGGTGGGACGGGAATGCTCTAGGGTGATGGATATGTTATGTATCTTCATTGAGGAGTGATTATGTGGGTGTATACATTTCTCAAAATTCCTTGAACTGTAAACGTCATTGAACTGTATACTGTATTTTATTGGATGTTAATTATACATCAATTTAAAAGATAATATACAATTCAGAAAACAGAATAATCTATAGAATAGATCTATGATGTAGAGCTACACATATTCTAATGATCACCTAGCCCAAATATGGGTGTATTAATCTGCTTAGCTTTATGTCGTACATCTATTCCATATTTGTGCAGAAGTTCTATTTTGAACAGTCTCATGTTTAATGATGTAGACCAGAAATGTGTTGGGGTGGATGAGCTACAGATATCTCTATGGTAGGTTAGTTTATAAAATGAAGCATTTTAAAGGATAAATTACTTCAATTATTAACCATGTAGTAAATATTGTCCATAAGATATATACACATTATGCATACAGATGTGTGTGTTTACCTGTGTGTGTGTGTGTGTGTATATATATATATATATATATATATATATATATATATATATATAGAGAGAGAGAGAGAGAGAGAGAGAGAGAGAGAGAGAGACAGACAGACAGACAGACAGACTTTTTTTGACCAAAGACAAAACAAAAGAAAAGAAAACAGACCCCTGCCTACCTGGAGAGAGCGCTCACACTCTCACAGTTTGGATCTAGCTAGTCGTCCTGCTGTTGCTGATTTGTTAGATGGTCCCTGAAAGCAGATGCCTCTGTCGGTATTTCCTTAGCAAACTCCAGAATAGGATAAGCTCCTTTAGCCACCACTGTACCCTTGAAGACATAAATTAGCTTCTGAATAGGGATAAGGCTCAGTTATCTCCTTTCAAAGGGGGCCTGCCAACCTTGCCTGATTGTTTTAAGAATTCTTTGAATGGTAAGAACATTCCATAAATAGGATCATTCATTGCAGTATTGGCTTTGACCTTAACTCAATCCTTTTTCCTCTTTCAAAATCACTGAAGAACATTTTACTCCATCTATAAAATATGAAAGGGACCTTTTAAGGTTGTTGCCTTATAATTTTCCCAACTTGTTCTCTGCATCCTGTCCCTGGTGGCTCAGGACAGCTTCCTACCTTTCATTGCCTCGCATTCACCTCTAACCATCCCCTTAGATGTTAGCTGATAATTACATAATATCTTTACTGGTTCTCTCAGGCTTGTTTTTAGTTTTAAATTAATTATGAAAATCCCTCAAGTAGCATTTCACCTCTTAAACGTGGCTTTGCCATCCTGGGATCCCTTGAGGAAAGTGACTGATGATTTTGCTCATTTAGAAACTTGGCCATGCCAAAGGGACACCCTGTCTCTGATAGAAGAGCAGTTCTCTTCGGGCTGAGCCAGAGGGTGGGACATGACAGAAGTCAAGGCTGATTTCTATTTCCCTTAAAAACACTGGTCAGAATGGGGAGGCTGACCCATTAAGCAAACTTGGGAGGATGACTCACCCCTGGGAAAATTCAGTACTTTCCCAGAGCCTTGATCTATTCTCAAGTTCTTCTTTTTTATGGCAAATACAAAGTGATTAGAACTCCCACACACTTTTCCTTTAGTGTCTCTAAGAATCCTTCAGCCCTGTTCAGGGTTTTGCCAGTGAGGAAAGATTATCCTACATATTCTCAGATAGCAAATGTCATAGAACGCACATAAAGTGACTACCCATTGCACTGACATTCATATTTAGTACTCAAAGGCAAGCCATTTCTGTGGGAGAGAGCCCAGTTTGCTCTGTAATGCCCTGAGACAGTCCTGTATCTCCTGCTGCGGCTTCTGACAGATCTCATAAAAGATCGTAAATTACTATCTGTTGAAATATATGAATTTAATGAATTCCATTAATGCACACCTGCACAGAAGAGATTTCAGGAGCCCAAAGATATGATCAGTCAAACAGCTTTAATAGTTATTAATTACAGAAGCGGACTATTTATCCCCTGCCTACATAGAAATCTGCAAGTAGTATAATACTCACACTTCAAGGCTTTCTGGATGGAAGAGAAAATGGGCTTTGGTTGAAAGGATCAAATTCTTATTTTAGCTAATGCATTTACATGCTGGGACTTTTATATTTATATATGGGAGAGCAGTCACTACCTTTGAATGTTGATTCTAAGAAATTTAATGTCACGGAGAGTATTTTTTTTTTTTTTTTGAGAATTATAAAAAAGGCTTTGGCCAGTATTTAAAGTAGGTTACTTACTTTTACTTCTACATGCATGAACATCAAAATGTTTAGATCAAAATCTAATCTAACCATTTAGGAAAGTTCATATCAAAGTCTCCTATGTAGTCTTAATATTACATCCCTTGAAATGGTTGCACAAACACATGAAGTTTCCAGGAACAGAAGCTTTGATCCAATTATCTATGTTCTAGGACAAAGATCTCACCATCTTTACCTAGTCATATGAATAATACCAGAAGTTAATATTTATCACATTAAATGCTTCATGGAAACTCTATAAAAAGAAAAATATTATTTCCCTTTTATAGATAAAGAAATTAGGGCATAGGCAGGTGAGGGATGCTACCCTTGATCCCACACCTAGTGTCTGAATATGAGGAGCCTATAGCTTGACTCCATACCCTTAACCTCTGTGTAATGCTGCCTTTCAACCATTCTAAAAGACTGCCATGCAAGACCCTATTTCTGGTCCTGTAATAATAAATTTATCTACCTGAATGCAAACTTTGTGACACCAGGTAGAGAGAGGCACATGCCCTACAGGAGGATAGACTCCTCTTCAATGCAGAATCAGAGTCCTGAAGCCTGCAGAATCTGATGACAGAAGCAAAGTGAGAGGGCCAAGGCCCATGTCCAAGGACTGACTTAACTAAGAATCTTCCCCAATTACAGAACCAGGAACAGTGTCTACATTCTAGGAAAAGGGTGTCTGTCCTTAAGGCTCAGCAGAAGGAAGAGGCAGAGATGGGTCATCGTGAGGTACAGCGCTGGCCACCCTCCTGCATGCTGGATTCCATATCTGGATATTTAGCTGGATATCCTGTCAAATATTCCTTTTCTGATGATACTTCTGACTCAGTAAATTGATCATCCTATCCTCTGACCAATTCTACACTGTAGTACTTGTATTTTCCCATTATATTTGGCTAGGAAAGCTCTTCTCCCTGTTGTCTGCCTGTAAATTCACTCATATTTTAAGAACCACATCAAACATCACCTCTTTCATAAAGTCTTTTCTTTCTCCCCAGGCAGAATTAAACATTCCCTTTTGTGTCTCCCTGTGTATGCTGCATATACTTCTGTCACAACAACTGTAATGTTTTACTGCCCTGATTTGCTTACATGACTGGCTTTCCTGACTACATTGAACGGTACTTGAGAACAAGAGCAACTTGATTAGCTTCAATATTCTCATATGTAACTAGCACATAGTAGGTGCCCAGAAATGAGTTGTAAACAAATGAATAAATAAATGTATAGTCACAGAAATGCAGGAAATATATTTTCAGGTGATGTGGGGGAGAAAACTGTCATGAAGGCCATTTTTCCTTCTTTCGGGAGCAGAAAGAATATACCTGGTTTATAAACAAATCATTTCTCTTTCAAGAACAGCCAGGTAACTGTCTCAATAACTGAAGGACATATATTAGAAAGGCATTACATTTGCTATTGACATTGCATTTCCTTTCCTGGCTTTTTTATGTGCCCATACAGCTGCAGTAACCTTGCTCTTACTATACTGGTGATTGGGAAAACCATTTCTATGCATAAAGTTTCTATGTATACAAATGTGGCTTAGACTAGGTGGATATAGCTGATATATTTGTTGGGCATAACTGGGAATTCCCCAAACTCACCTTTCTTGTCCTGTGTCCTTAGAAATCACTGAATGTGTTGTATGTTATACCAAGTAGTATTAAATCTACATGGGCAGCATGTTCCTTTTCATAAATATGGGGGTGGGTTTTTATATCCTTTTA